GTACTTCTGCGGGATGGCAGCAAGAGCGAAACGAGCCAAGGTAACAGTTTGATCCGGTTTGTTTTTAAGCAGCAAACACGACGCCGCGTGTTTCTGTGCACGTGTAACATGCTGTGGTGCACACGCTGGGTTTACGCAGCCGATCATGAACTCTGTGATCCGCTACTTAAAACGTGCCGCCATTCAGCTCACTTTATCACTTAGCATTGACGCAAGGAGCACAGTTACCTTCTAACTGTAACCACGTGGCTTCGTTTTAGAAGCGCGTGAAACCACGTGCACGATAGCGTTAGATAACACGTGCCTGTTGCTGATGTTTCTGCGCTGACAGGTGGAGGATGGCTCGGAGCTGAGCCCTCTGCAGAGCTTTTTGCAGTGGTGTGACGGAGTAGGCCTGGAGCTCAGCAGTAAGGTTTGTTACGGCGTCGTGCGACTGTATTTACAGCTTATTAGTCAGCACTAAGATCCGGTTTAGGACTGACGTTTGTACCTGCAGGTGTGCGTGAGTAAAGAGGGGACCGTGGCCGAGTACGGGATGCTGGCCAAGGATGACATAGAGGACGGGGAGGTTTTGTTCACCATCCCCAGATCAGCTCTCCTCCATCAGGGAACAACCAAAGTTTCTACCTTGCTGGAGAAAGGTGACGTGTAACACTGCAAAGATGCTGCAAAGATGCTGCAAAGATGCTGCAAAGCTGCTGCCTGCCTGCATCCCTCAGTTTGTAACTTTCTCCATTTTCCTTCACAGAGCGGTCGACTCTGCAGAGCTCGTCGGGTTGGGTTCCCCTGCTGCTGGCTCTGCTGTATGAATACACATCCTCACAGTCCCACTGGAGAGCCTACCTCTCTTTGTGGACAGACTTCAAAACACTGGATCATCCCATGTTCTGGTGAGGAACACGCGTCGCTTTCCTATCCAGAGGTGTGGTGTTACTTCCCTGGTGCGATGGCGCGTACATCGGCGTGCTCGCTGGAGTCGTGTTAGTTGTTTCCAGACCTGTTTAAACAGCTCACGTAATGAAAGAGCAGAGTCCCTTTCCTTTCTGTTCTAATATTTTGTTGAAACTGAGCAGAACTGAGCTTAGTCACATTTCTGCACAGAGATCGGTGTAATTAAAACGTCTCAGCGTCAACTGTATCTTTGTTTAGTCTTTCTAGATTATACTACATGAAATAGTCTTAAATTAATATTTTATTTCCTCTCTTAAGAGGAGGAAAACATTTGAGCTGTCATCCTTTCAGGTCTAAAGAGGAGAGAGGCGGGCTCTTGAAGGGAACAGGTGTGCCGGAGGCAGTGGACAGGGACCTGGCTAACATCCAGCGCGAGTACACAGATGTGGTCCTGCCATTCATGAGCAGACATCCTGACCTCTGGAGCCCCGGCACACACACACTGGACTTGTACACACAGCTTGTGGCCTTTGTCATGGCCTACAGGTTAGCATAAATACAGACAGTTACAGCAGTGCACGAGTATGTGTTTGTTTCTTCTTCCCATCCGTCTCTCCATTCGTCTGCAGTTTCCAAGAGCCACAAGATGAGGAGGATGACGATGAGGAGGAGGAGGAGGGGGAGGAGAAGCCTCCCAACCCACCAATGATGGTTCCCATGGCTGACATGCTTAACCATGTGTCCAATCACAATGCTAATCTGGAGTTCACACAAGTGAGGACACATCTGTTACGGCAGCTTTGCACCTTTGAAAATCATCTACTGTAGATAAAAGATGGGAGAAGCCAGCGTGATGCTGATGATTCGTTTTTGATGTGCAAGACAAGCAAGAGGTGGCGAAACACTCGTACAGC